AAGCAAATTTATTCTATAAAAAATAAGTACCAATACGGGAAAGGGTTAGTGTTGTCAAATAGGCTCAATGGTGACTAACTCGTGATCGTGTGGATCGTCTCGTCGCACAATCTTTGTGCTACTGTGGAAGATCCGCACAACCAGAGATGCTGATTAAAAATGCTAAAAAAAGTTAGCTTTTTTTATTTTATTTTTTGGCTACGCCAAACACACACTAACAAAATTTAGTAATCGAAAAACAAAATAAAATTTTCGTGAATACTTCAACAATCACCATCTTTATAAGCCTAGCAAGAAATGGAGAAAACACACACACACACACACACAAAATAAGTCAATACAATTTGAAATCTCTGTCCATTGGTGCAAAAGCAAAACACAGTGAATATCTGAAGGCTGTCAAATTCATTCAATTAAACTATATCCAGAACCAGAACCAGAATCTCTTTTTGCCCAGAGAAAACCCAGATGAAAACAGAAAAAAGATAGCCAAGTTTTAAATTCAAATGATCCTTCACTTTCTGCTTCCCCATCATCGTCTTCTTTATGTACAGAGGACCACACTGTAATTGTACTTATTTTGTGTACAGGCTACAGGTCTGTGTTTGCCATACATGTTGCTAAAAGGAAGAAGAAAGAAAAAACTAGAGGCTATTAGCCTATTGCCTTTGCCCATTACTTTCAGTGCATTAAAATCATGGCTGCCATTGCCAGCAGGAAAAAGTTGGGGCAGAAAGACTATTATTATATATATATCAAAACCCTAAAGCTACTAGTCTACTACCCTTGTTGGAAAAAATAACCTTCACGTTTCAGTGCATTAAAATCATGGCTGCCCTTGCCGGCAGAAAAAGCTGGAGCACAACGACTACATTTTTTGGAAAAAATATCCAAGTTGCCATTGAATTTAAGTGAAAATTATGGTTGTGTTCTATAAAATTTTACATGGTTACTGGTTCTCAATCTTCGAAGTTGAGATTTTGAGTCACCAAGCTATTTAAATGTAGTTATGAAAATTGTCATTTTAGATGTTTAAATCACATGCAACATTCAATTGAATTGAAGAAAAATGTTAGATACTTTGATGAATTTGCCCTCTAACTTCGATTCAAGTGAAAGTCCCGTGTAATTTAAATATATACATTGACTCTTTCTGACGTGTTGGGACCTAAATTTGCATATTTAAATAAATTATGAGACTTAAAATCTCATTTTTAAAAGTTGAGGACATATAACGACTCTAAGTGAAAGGCAAGAGAGCTCAACCCTAAATTTTTCTAAAATTATTTCTAGTTTGTTTTTTACTTTATTAAATTATACAGAATATCTGCATCGTTACCAAAAAAATTATAAAATAAAATAAATCATAATTTACAATGTTATTATTAAAACCAAAAATACTAGATGGCACTTGAAATATGTTTACATATACTTCGTTCTAAAAATAGACCATCCACCACATTCTGTAATTGACCCTTTCTGAATTCAGCATATTTCACGTTCTCCATTAATGTCATTTCCTAAATTTAATAAACAATTCAAAAAACTAATGATGGCAAAAAATAATCATTTTTTAAACAAATTTCGGATTGCATACACATACACCATTATGAAATAAATTGAATTTTCAGATAATATTAAAGCACAATTATATTGAAGCAAGAATGCAAATTTTCATAAAAAAAATTCATGGTATCTTCATTACGATTTTCTCATTATCAAAAAAAAATTGAAACATATCCACTCATAGTATATATATTCACACACATAAAATCAAATATCTAATGAATATATCTTTATTTATTTTTTTGTTAAAAGAAGCAGGATTTAAATACTCTCATTCAATTTCAGATATAAAATATATACAAATTGTATAGACAAGCAATAAAGCCCTAATCAACGGAAAATGAGAATCAAATGGTGGATATGTGTGATATGATGTGTATTATTCTTGAATTATGCTTGGTGCACATAAAAAAATGTACATAATGGTGTCCTTTCTCTCACATGGTTTGTGGGTCCCATCACATGTGAGGGAATGGCTACACTTATGTACAAAAATTATGTACACCAAACAAGGTCAATTATTCTTTGTGGTAAATCTATATAAGAAGAATTGATGATTAGGTTTTGGAAATTTCTTGGTGGGTGATTCAAGGGAGAAACGACATGGTGGAGATTTTGGTTTGGAATACAAAAGGGCAAGATTTTAGGGATTTTTAATTAATTTGAAATGTTGGGCGTGTTTGTTGGGGCATAATTTAACAACGTATTTGTTGGATTAAAATTACCTAAGCAATGAATAACATGAATGATTTGATTAGTTACAAAAAAGCAATATTTATGGTTAAAAAAAGTTGTTATATTCTTAAATATTTATTAAAAAATAGGTGGTGGCATAATTTCCTCTAAATTATAATGTATGTATTATGTGTCGGGATAGGGACAGCTCATAATGGGCCATGCCCAAAGGCAACCTCAAGGGCCATTCCCAAAGCGGCAAAGGTTGATCGTGTGCCATGCTTTTGACATGTCGAGATACTAGAGTCACGGTCGTCCATACCATTTTGACACCTTTAATTTGAAATGGCACGAAAACATACAAAGTATCAAAAAGATAGAAAAGGACAACTTCTTGTTACAGTGAATCAATAAGGGTTAGATTTTCTTCTACATTCCAAGTGCTGTATTGCTACCTTAAGTAAGCCCCATGTAGAAAAGTAAATGACCAAAAAGAACTATAAACATAAAGATATACCTAAATCTATCAATACCAAAGATTGAAAATCCCAAAGAAACTATGGGATTGGATTCTGGATTCCAAATCCTATTATTATCCATCTTGGAATTTGTATCAAGACCAGTTTCATTCTCATATTGTGTTACTTCTTGCTGACACTGTTTTACACCAAATGGTGCATTAATTCTTGATATCAAACCAGAGGGGAAGCAGAGATTTGGATTGTCCCATGCCCCAAAACGCCTCCCCAATTTCCCATAGAATCCTTCAGAGAATTTAAGTTCACCTGTTAGATTGTTTCCATAGATGTGCATTGCACTAATATTAGGCAACGTTTCAATCTTTGTGGAGATTTCCCCTGTGAGCTTGTTATCATTGAGACCCAAAAATCTCAGCCTCTTTAACTCTGAAATCGAGTCCGGAATCCCGCCTGTCAAGCTTGTATTCGATAGGTCTAGTATGGTTAGGCGTATCAGATTATGCCACGAAAGGTTCGTTATGTCACCACCTGTTGGATTGTTGGATAGGACTAATTCTTCCAAGGAACTCATTTCTTGAAATAATGTGGTCAACCCACCTGAAAATTTGTTGTTACTTAGGTCCAAGAGTGTTAGATTCTTCAATTTTCCAATCTCTTGTGGGATTTTTCCTTCTAATTGATTGTTGCTTAAGTCAAGCTTCAACAAAGAAGTCAACCCACCAACTGTCGAAGGCAAGAGACCAGACAATAAATTCCTACTCATGTCGAGAATCAGAAGCTGATTTAGCTCTCCAAAGTTATCCGGAACTCTACCCGAAAATGAATTTCCAGCAAGATTTAACCGCCTCAAGTTGATTAAATTTCCAAAAAATGCCGGTAGTTCACCAGTCAAGCCATTTTCCACTAGCACTAACGACCGGAGATTTCTGAGGTACCCAAAAGAGTGTGGAATTTGTCCAACGAGGCGGGGATTGGACCGAAACTCTAGTGACTCTAAACTGCCAGCAAAACCTTGCCAATTTTCAGTAGGAATTGCAACAGGATAATGTTGGGGTGAGGCGAAGCAATTGAAGATTGAGAGTGATTTCAGGTGCCTTAATTCAAAGAACTGGGGCCTAAATTCAACATTTTGGGCACAACTAAGGGAATTGTCATGAACAGGTCCAATACTCAAGTCTGTGACATACCAAAAGCCATCAAAAAGGTCACAGCCAACACCCTGTGGAGAGAATTATAATAGCAGATTAAAATCAGGAAACATAGCACTAAATTTGGTACTAGTGTAATTAACTGAGCAGCAGAAAATTTATTAAGGTTCGACTCCCACATAAAACTTACCGACAGACGGTCATTTAGGAGTACTAATTAACACAGATGATCTTGACTATCGGAGTTTTGACAGTAGGGACAAAGAAAAGAAAAGGTTGAAAATAGTAAAAATAATTAAATAAATAAAGAAATAATTCTAAAGCTGAGAATGTCAATAAATAATAAACAATTGGCAGAACTCAGAAGACTGTAATTCTTGTACATGTAATTGAAGTCCAGTCTTGACACAGTGTTCATAAAGCCCAAAGCTAGAAATAGGCAGCAGAATCTTAGCGAAGTGAGGTACTATCTAAAATGAACAAACCATAAGATAACAAACGACAAAATAATTTTTTGCAAGAATTATCCTATTCCCAATCCCAATCCCAATCCCAATCTACAAATTGAAAAAACAATAAAAAAACTTGAGTTTTTACATTTACGACACAGTTGGTAAGGTAGATATGATAATCCTCAAAACTACTGAAACTATAAAAGTAAATATCAGATTTTTTACTCCAAGAATCTTGAAAGCAAGAAAGTAGAGTAAAAGGCTTAACAATGTTTACCTGTATGGGAGTCCAACCACAAGGATCTGGATAAAGATCTGAACCATTCCACCATTTACCCACAAAACCTTGAATAGCAGAATACAAAGCTTCTTGCTCTGTTCTCTTCATTAAAGCCAGCCCATTTTCATCTTCCCCATTGCACATAACACCCAAATTAATTATGTATATAACAAAAATGAAAATACTCCAAGATTTGAACTCGTTCATGATGATTTTACTGAGCCAAAAATGACAATTGAACACAAGAAAATGAACAAGATTCAACTAGAGATAGTGAATCCAAGAAAGTTTAAAGAATTGGATTGAGCCAAAACAGTTTTCTTATCATCATGCCCTTTGATTTGAAATGGAGTTTTTTGCAGGAAGGAACAAGAGATTGACAAACTGAGGGCCTTTTCTTGATAGTGTTTATAGCAAAGCAAAGGTAGTAAAGGAGGTGTAGAATGGAAGAGGGTAGCAGTCTAGCAGAAGATATAAGTCTAGGATGTCTTGTGCAGTTGCAGCTAAAAGTTAAGAGCACATTTCTCAATGTTCAAGAATGTAATTATGATTATGTGAATTATTAGATCAGAGAAAGGGAAAGGTAGCTGAAACTCTATATGGGGCTTCTTAATTTCCTTTTATAAAAGAAAGATCCTTTGTGCTTAAAAAATGGAAAATCATAGTAGACGGTTGCACATTTCACATTCAGTACATGTCGTCTATTATCTAGTATGATTCAATCTTTCTTATAAAACATAAGGAGGGAAAAAATTGTGGTTGGAATTAGAAGTACTCGATGATTTCCTATTTTCCTTTCACCATAGATCCATTGTGATTAGTAATTGTAAGAATTCATACTTGCAAATATAACTAGTAGATTTGTCATGCAAAAATAACTATTGCACATTTGTCGTTCAACACTTTCAAATCTAGACAGTATTAAACAATATTTCGATTACTTTTTCTTCTTTAAAACTGTTGAGTATCGTCTATCCTTCCATTTCAAACACATTGTAAGTGGGGGAATTTGTGGTTGGAATGGAAAGGGTAGTCAAAGTGGTTAGCATTTAGGGTTCATAATGGGCTGGCGGGGTGGGTGAGGGTCGGGGTAAGGGGATAAAGGGGGACCATTTTGCACTCAGTACTGGATGTATGCATGTAAATGCATGCAAAACAATGGAAGGTTTTGTCTCAGGGTGACTTGTTCTCACTTTTTTTTGGCTGTTGGATTCAACAGAGTTCTGTGTGATGGCGAGGACGAAAGAGTAGTGCATGGGATTCTTTATAAAATTTGCTGTAGCCCCTAAGTAATGCCACATGTCAATCAAAGTTTTCAAAACATTGTGAATTGTGAATCTATCAGACTTTAAAAACATCATACATGATTTCCTTTTTCTTGTTGTAAAGTAACAAAAAGAAAAGAAAAATGTAATTTAGCATCACAGAATATCAGTTTAGATAACAACACTTGTAACATTAAATTACATATTCAGTTAAATACAAAGATTTATGACATATTCAATATGATCTGCAAACGCCTAAATTGATGTTCAACACGACTTGTGTTAGATAAAATTCAAATACAAAAATTGCAAATTGGTTTTAACTTAAAAAGAAATAAATTGATCTCCAATATAATTGACTAATCACTAACTTGAACCATAAAAACCGTTCGAGTTTTCCTTAATGCCCTCAATTTTTTTTTTGTCTTATCACTTAAACTTTTTGGACAACGGTTTAAGTTATGATACAATACTTAACATCGTAAAGGTGGACATGCGTTAGAGACCAATTATGTAACTATAATAAGAAGTTAAGGATACCTTTGTTTCTTTTTTAAAGGTGAATGACCAATTATTTATGCATTTATATTTATTTATTTAATAAAATAGTACAGAAAAATTTATTGGGTTTTTTTTGTTACATATTTTTTTTTCAATATTTTCAAATTGTACGGTTCTGTTATGCAAATCACTTTCGATTAATTAAGGAATCTTGATTGTCACTTGTCAGTCCATCAAATTTTCAACTCCAAAATTACATAACTTAAGTTGTGTTAATTAGAGCTCCTAATGTCCCCAAGACCCCAACTGTTATTTTATTTTATTTACAATGCAATTTATTTGAGGGAAAAGGGTACAAGATTTTTCTTTATTCCTCGTGCCTGCTCTATCTTTTTGGATATTCGCGTGTGCATATTCAAAACAGTAAATGATATGAAACTCTCAACGAAAAAGAGATTACACGTAAAAATCGAATACAAAAAGTTTCTTCATTAATATCGTCATTGTTTTATTGGCGAATTATGTAAGTTATCGCTTGTTTCGTCCATTGTTTGAGGGTGGACGAAAAATAAAAATATTTAACTAGTAGGGTATCAATAATATCTTTTATAAGTGGACGTAGCTCGCACACAATTGTTTGAGGGGGGACCAAATATAAATGCAATGAATAGATAGAGGTTCTTAACGAGGATTGCGAGGTGTTTATGGTATTAGGACCACATAAATGAGTTTTTGTTGGAAAAAGAGCAGCCCTACAAACAGAAAGGGCTAAGGGCTAGCGCTTACTAAATTTTATAGCCAGTCCTAATGGTCTGAATAGTCATTTTCTTCCAATTTTAGTCTTAACTACACCGTGTTTGGCTAAGCTTAAAAAGTTACTTTTATATATATTAACTTTTTATTTTCAAACGTGTGTTTGAAAACGTTAATTATTTGTTATTTATAAGTAAAAAAAAAAAAAAAAGTTACTTATTGGAGAATGGTTTTCAGATTAAGTTTTTACGTAGCTTACTAATTTTATAGACACACAAAAAAATTTATTTTAAAAGTATACTAATAGAATTATTTATTTTAATAGTAACTTATTACTTATATTAGTTGCCATTTGAGTTCAAACACAGCAATGTACAACAAGGTATGGAGCATAATTAACAATGCAGTTACGAGTTTTTATTGTCAATAAATAGTAAAAATCATGGTACCAAAAATTAATATATATTTTCTGCTGAAAAAGTGCCCAACTAATGATATTAATGTATGGATAACATTATAATACAGATCGGATCAGACGGAACCGAATGATCCGATCGAAAATCTAATGAACCAGACGTTGATCCGATCAACATAATTGGATCAATGCACAATTAAATAGCAATTGGCTCACTATAACGGGTCGAGTTTTTCTCAAATTCAGTGAATCGTTTGGTTTAAACTAGACGATTTTTTTGCAAATTTTCAACAACTTTTTGAAAATCACAAAATGAAGAGTCCACATTTTCGAACCAATGACCTTAGGTTTGTAAGAGACATACTTTTCTACTTGAATAACCTATTATTTGTATCGTTGCGGTTAGGGCTGGGCAAAATGTCCGAACCGAACCGAACCGAACCGGAACCGAACCGAACCGAACCGAACCGGAACCGAACCGAACCGAACCGAACCGAGCGGGTTTTTTAATATGAAATACCCGAACGGGTATCCGAATCGAGAACCGAATGGTTTGGTTCGGTTCTCGGTTCTCGACCAAGAACCGAAGAACCGAATAAGAACCGAACTTTTTTTTTTATNAGACGATTTTTTTGCAAATTTTCAACAACTTTTTGAAAATCACAAAATGAAGAGTCCACATTTTCGAACCAATGACCTTAGGTTTGTAAGAGACATACTTTTCTACTTGAATAACCTATTATTTGTATCGTTGCGGTGGAAAAAAGGTAAACCGAGTACGAGATAATTGGTCTGAAAATCAATTTCGAGCTTGAACTTTGATTTTTTTTAACAACGAATTGAAAGTTAATACTCATTAAAATTGATATTTGTTTTAAATGTAACGATGTGATAATTTCACAATAAAATTGATTTCGAGCCGTATCTAATAAATTGATCGAGTTCTAACTCATCCTAGTCACCCTGTCCTATTTGCATACTTTCATTAATTATTTGATAATTTTAAAGCTCGATGTGTACCTTTATTTAGTTGAAATAAATAATGCAGAAATAGGTCGGCTCAACGAGATTATGTTGCAGCTGACTTATGTAGCATCTAATTATTTAGGCTCAACTTCGGATTTTAAATGCATTATTACAGACTTTTGTTTACAATTAAAATAAAAGAAGAAATATAGCTAGAGGTTGAAATATACCCACATCATGCACGATAGCTACTAAACTTCAGCCGGAGGCTAAAATATGTTCGCTTTGATTTGTTCCTATTATTCCAATGGTTATTCATAAATGAAGTAGAACACTTTATGCACACACAATCTCCAACACTACACACCACATAGTAGGCCCCAATTTAGTAACAGTCGTGCTATTGGACCAGGCTCAAAGCCAGGCCCAAAAACAGGGTGCCGATGTGAGCCAGGCCAAGAAGCAATACACATTTTAGAATGATCACGCTATGTGTATAGGACCCACATGCCCCTGTACAATTACAGGGGACATGTGTCCCCTTGTTATAGGAGGAGTCAAATAATAAGAAATAATTATATTCACACTGCAAATTTTATTTCTTGCACCACATTTTATTTGTATTTAAGGTTTTTAGTCTTTGTTCATTATAACACTTATATTTCTAACGATTTTTTATATCATTTATATTCTCAAACTTTCCATTAATTAACATATTTGTATTTGATAACAATTTTATGTCCAAAAGCGTGTCGAAATGACGTAAAAAAAACTTATTTTATCATCCTAATTTAAATAATAAATAAATAAAAAGTGCGAGAAAATCTTTTTTCTTCATTTCAAAGTATGAAAATAAAATATTTTGATATAAATCATCAATAAGGACAAAACGTACTAGTTAATGGAATGTTGAAGATAAAAATTCGATGAAAAAAAATTATGAAAATAATTGCAACAATGAGCAAAGATTGAAGAATTTAACTATAATTAAAATGTGGTGTGTCGAATAAAAATTATGGTATCAATATAATCACCTTTAATAAAGCAAGGGGACAAAGTTGGTAGTTGAACCTAACTCGCCCCATGATGGTTTCCAATGTTGGGCAACTTACAAAAATACCCTTAAAATTAAGGTTCTTTTGAAAAATCATATGAAATATATTTTTGAAGTGAAAAATATTGTGCAAAATTAATTTTCACTTTTTTTAATAAAAAATGTGACACGATAAAACAAAAGTAACACA